AGTAGTTTGTTTTTGCAAGAATAAAATATTCTGGCTTCGCTAAAGGGTTCAGAGGCTCCCTTATAATTCACAGAAGACCCAGATGTAATGATAAAACTTCTCCAATATCATCAATTTATTTCTTTAGCTACCCCACGGGATTTGTACCCGAAAATACTTCAAAAGGTCACCTGCCGCGGTACCTGAGCACGTATGTCAAGTTTTACCCCGCTAATTTGTGAGTGATGACATGAATACAGTTTCAAGCATGACGCCCCTCAGATCCAAAAGGGTGCCAGAAACACAAACTCCATTGCCAGATTTTGGTTTAGCGACCCTGCAAACCTATTCCTAGATCCCCATAATGTCTAGATGACCTTCCATGCGCATTTTAGCCCCGTCTTGTTACCCCAAATAAATAAGGGCATGGGTTACATCGTATACACCCCCGGTTCACTCCGAATCCACCTGCTAGTCCTAAGCTCCAAAGCTGTGGGAGGAGTTCGCGGATAAATAAATTCACAAACACGCAACAAGAATTAAGATAGGGACGCGGGAATTCCAGTAATTTGTTATTGTGTTGTGATTTATTAATTTTTTTTACAGTGTTAGGTTTGTTTGTTTGTAATTATGCACAATGCTTCACAATGGGCTGTCTGTGCTCTGTCCACCACGGGTATCGAAACCCGGATTCTATCGTGTAAATCCGCAGACATACCGCTGTGCCACTGGGGGGGGGGCGTACAGTGTTTGGGTTTCTGTAGTTTGCTTTGTGAGGTTTTTCAGTAATTTGTTATCATGAGTTTTCAGCAATTTTAGTAGCTTGTTACTGAGTGGGTTTTAGTAGTTAGTCTCAGAATGGTGTTTCAGAAGTTTGTTAGTGTGTGGGGTTTCAGTAGTTTATTACTGTTTTGGTTTCAATAGTTTCCACTATAGGGTTTAGTAATTTGTTACTGTAGAGCTCAGTAGTTTATTACTGTTTTGGTTTCAATAGTTTCCACTATAGGGTTTAATAATTTGTTACTGTAGAGTTTCAGTAGTTTATTACTGCTTTAGTTTCAATAATTTCCACTTTTGGGCTTAGTAATATGTTACTGTAGAGTTTCAGTAGTTTATTACTGTTTTGATTTCAGTAGTTTCAACTTTTGGGTTTAGTAATTTGTTACTGTAGAGTTTCAGTAGTTTATTACTGTTTTGGTTTCAATAGTTTCCACTATAGGGTTTAATAATTTGTTACTGTAGAGTTTCAGTAGTTTATTACTGTTTTGATTTCAGTAGTTTCCACTTTTGGGTTTAGTAATTTGTGATTGTAGAGTTTCAGTAGTTTATTACTGTTTTGGTTTCAATAGTTTCCACTATAGGGTTTAATAATTTGTTATTGTAGAGTTTCAGTAGTTTATTACTGTTTTGATTTCAGTAGTTTCCACTTTTGGGTTTAGTAATTTGTGATTGTAGAGTTTCAGTAGTTTATTACTGTTTTGGTTTCAATAGTTTCCACCATAAGGTTTAGTAATTTGTTACTGTAGAGTTTCAGTAGTTTATTAGTGTGTGGATATCAGCAATATATTGGACTGTGAAGTTTCTTTAGTGTATTAGTATGTAGGGGGTTAAATAGCGTATTAGTGTGTGGATATCAGCAATATATTGGACTGTGGAGTTTCGTTAGTGTATTAGTATGTAGGGGGTTAAATAGCGTATTAGTGTGTGGATATCAGCAATATATTGGACTGTGGAGTTTCGTTAGTGTATTAGTATGTAGGGGGTTAAATAGCGTATTAGTGTGTGGATATCAGCAATATATTGG